AAAAAAAATGACTAATGAGATGATTTAATTTTTAACTAGAATGGGACTTTGTGATGACCAAACTAATATACAAGAGAAAATTCAAAAGGTGAGACAACTTTTTTTAAAAATTTGTTTAGAAGAACTGGGGTATTAACCAGAGGTTTGGCGCAGGGCGAATATGAGAGACAGAGTGAGGACCAAACAGGCTCTACTGAAATACACTGCTGAGGGGAGAAGGGGTTGAGGCAGAAGAGGTCTGATATGCCATGTGGATCAGTTCCCTGTCTGCGGAATGTAGGCTGTAGAGGTGATGGTGCTGAGACTTAACCCCAGCGCACCAGGGAGGTTCCTGAGTCAACTTATGATGGGAGAAGTTTAATTTTTTTGTAAAGTGCAATGTTGGCTTAGTCAGTTGGATTTGTAATTTCTTTTTGTCATTTCTTTGTTTAGCGGTGTTACTTTTCTTTCTTTACTCTTAAATTATATATTTAAACATGTCAGTATGATGCCTCTGAAGTGCTTGAATATAATGGAAAAAGTAAAATATATTCAAAAGCAATTTTAAATATGATTAATTTTAAAAGCTTTTTTTTTTTCTTTCTTAAAGATTTACTTAATTGTGGACACAGAACTAGGGTAGAGGCCAGAGGTGCAGGGGCTGTGAGAGGATTCACCAGAGTTAGAGTGGGGAGCAGAACAGGCAATGGATGAAATACACTGCTGAGGGGAGCAGAGGGTGGGTCAGGAGAGGTCTGCCCTGCCATGTGGGTCTCCTCTGGGCCTGGAGATCGAACTTGCACTGAAGCCACTGCAGCTAGCTTCAGAGTGCTGTGCTTTAACCCTTTTGTGTCACATGGAGGACCCTAATTTAAAAGGTTTAATACCAGCCAGAAATTATAACTTTATTGTAATTCAATCAGTAAATAAAATACATACATCTGATGGAAGATGGTATGTGTGGAACAAAAATGAGAAGTCACTTTGAAGCTGACATGGTAGTAGGGAGCAGTTTGGCAGACAAATCATCTAAGGGCTTTCATGGTTGCCACTGAGGTGGGATAGCAGTTTTTTCTTAGGCCTTCTTTGTGTTTTCATGAAATCTCTTGAATTCTTTGTTCTGATACTGTGATCACCAAACTTCTTTGGGTATTTATTTGGCTTCCTGGTCAGTGGAAGAGGTGAACAGCCTCCTCCACATTATTTATAATGTACTGACCATTCTAGATATTAGAATAAAGCTATAGCAGTGAAGCAAACAGATAACTTCATGAAATTTCCAATTTAATGAATAAAAATGTGCCTTTTAGTGAAAATTGTATTTTTGGTTGTAAATTTAGTTTTCAACTCACTGTCTCCTGAGTTGGTTAATGTTCAATTCCTGCAAGTCCTGTCACCTTTAACAATATTAAAGTCTCTGGACTTGAAAATCTGAGAACTGGATCTTTGTTAAGTTCATCAGGTAATGCTACTTACGAGACCACTTGACTGCCAGCTTATGAGCCTTCCTTTACCTTGTACCATGGGTGGAAATAGACACGAATGTGGGCATAATTATTGTATTTCTCCACCTCTTTTCCACTTATATAAATTCTCTTGAGGGGTGACATACATACAGAAAAGTTTAAAGATCATAAGTGGATCGGCTGGCAAAATTTAAAAGTGAACAGGTCCATGTAACCAGCATCCAGTTTAATGACTAGAATGTTACCAAAATT